TGGTGGATGGGGGAAGGGGAGCAGCTTGTTGAGTGCAGGAGGGAAAGAGAGCATGGGTTGAGAAGCAGAGGCCTTACCAATAACATCACAACAAAGAAATCAAGCTTGTAACACAAGCACATGAGGTCATGGCTCCCCATGAAGCTTCTTACCTATATCATCCCAATCTTTTGTACCACTTTCTGGGTAGGAGGGCCAATGAGAATCTATCTCTGCCAGCAAAGCAAGGTTAGCATTACTTACATTTTGTCCAGCATTGCAAACTAAGTCAGAAAGTTCAGCCCAATGATGACAATGTTAAGCATTAGATAGGGAATTCATAGCTTACCAGAAGAAATGAGTGCCAACTGATGAAAGACAGGCATCAAAGCCTGTTCCAGGCAGTAAGCTTACTCCCTTCCCCCATCAAAAAGGAAGGGGCCCCTGTTCAGTTTAATATGGCCCTTAGAATCCCTTGGACTGGGAGACTATAACAGAGAGTTGGGACAGGACCACCCCTTCTCCCAAGTTGTTTGGCACCAGTTGTAAGGTCTGAAAAAGGAAACAGAAGTAAAGTGCAGAGCAAAAAGCAAAGCTGATTGCCTGAGCTGATAGCTTTATTTATTTCAATAGGTTACTTTAGGTCATTGGCATCATTAGTACACATTGTTCATTGTATCACTAGGCAGGTTGCAGACATAGCAGCATTATGCAGCTTATTGCTAAGTTACATACTAAGTTGCAATGTGCAATGTTAAGAGCTTTGTGTAGCTCTCAAGAAAGTGGATTGTATAAAGTTACTTTTATGTGGACAGGTTTAGGCTCGGTGAAACATTGTAGTTGTCTAACAAGAGAGTTCCTTTATTCTCAGGAGCTGATTGTCTGAGATCAAGGTGGAGGCTGATAAGACTCCAGCCCAAAGCCTTCTCATGAAGGACAGTACCATAGCAGGTAGGCATTGCACATGTATTAGTTATCATACTAGTTCTAGGGAGAAACTGAAGAATATTCCAAGTGTGGAAAACAGAGTACCTGTTACCCTCTGGGAGTTTACTCACTAGAGGAATGCTGCCCTGTACGTTTTCACAGCCAGAATCCTTACCTGCCACCTTTGCAAAAGTGGATGAAACTACTATAAATTTTACACATCTTCTCTCCCATCCTCCTTAACTCATTGCCTTGAAAATTGAAAGACATGTAAAACATATTTAATCTGCTATTGAGAAGCTGTGTCTGCATTCAGGCTAGAAGCCAATCTTACACCTTGTAACCTATTCAAATGAAGCAACCACTTTGCCTTATTCATGATATATTCAAGAAGTTAGCAAATTTAAGTTTGTGAAAAAATAGGTAATACACAAGAAATATACAAGTATTAAAATAAGCTTGCAATCTAGGTCTAGAGATAAGAAAAGAACACAATAAATATATAGTCATACTACAGTATAATCAATCATGTTGGTGAATGTATTCACACACACACACACACACACACACACACACACACATGCAAGGAAAAAAAAACTTCATGAACAAAATGAGGTCAGAAGCAAACAGCAATGAGAGCACATGAGAGGTTTATGATGATCTCAGAGGTGAGTTGTGAAAGATGCTTCTTTTATACAATATA